ACTAAACAGTAAGAAGGACAAGGACTTCCCCAGTCACCTTGTTCTCTTGTATTCAGGATGGGTGGCTTAGCACGCACTTTGAGCTTGGGACACTCAAATTGTGGTGGTTTTTGTTGGGGGCAGGGGTGTTAGCAACTTTCTTGTTTCCCCCATCCCCCTCTACCCTAGAAATCACTTACAGGAAAAAAAAAAGAGAGAGAGAGGAAAAAATAATGGCAAAAAGACGTTTATAAAGCACACTTTCTACAGTAATATTATTAACCCTCTTGATGCCAAATGCAAACCAACGACGCCTCGTTTCCACCCCGATGCTCTAGGGTTTAGGGAGTCATCTCGGAGACGAGCATCTGTCCGCTTTCTTTTTTACACACAAGCCCCAGTGTCCGTCCGTCCACCTGTCGTACCCACTTCAGATGTTGTGCATGCTTTTGTCGCGCTTCTTGCAGGATGAAGCGTTTGGGGGATTTGCTTTAAATGGATGTTCTGGGAACTTGAGGATTTTTTTAAAACCTTAAAAGGACAAATAAGAGGGAGGGGGAGCGAACGCAGTCAAAAAGGCGTTTCAGTAAGGGCCTCGCTTCTGGTGCCCCCAGTGAGCCTACATGTAAGCCCCTATAGGATCAGAAGTAAGGGAGGGTGAGTTTACAGCTTTTCCTGAGCACTCCTTTGACTTCCATCTACCATGTGGCTGCTTATTTGGAGTGCTTCATCCATCCTCCTGCCCAGACGCACTTAAAGGGCCAATCTTACTTTTCAGGTCCCAGTCCCACTCCTGCTACTGCCCAGTGGTTTTCACAAAGGCCAGTGCAAGGCATGAGGGCTGCTGACTGCAGAATGGATCTGGACAGGCTAATGATCTTGGGGATGCCTTTTTTCCCCTTCAGTTTGTTCCCTCTATGGGCTTCGCATACACGTACTCCCTTCTCCGCCATGGTCAATAACTACATCGGCTTCTTTTTAGAAGCATCCTGCTCTGGGGCAAGGATGGAGTGCCCAGCACTCTTAGTCTCAAAATTTAAAAAAAGACAACTTAAGACTTTCTGTACAACTGTGGACTTTCTGTTTGGATTTCTCTTGTGGGAAAGCCCTACAGAATTTTAATAACAAATGATCACCTTTCTATTGGTCTCTTGAGTCATCCTATGGAGTTTAATAGAAAATTATATCCCTATAGAATTCTGTAGGATAGTTTGAAACTCCTATATTCAGCTTATCATTTTCTATTCAATGTGATACGTTTTTTAGAGTCTGTGGAACCCTGTTAAATTTCCATAGACCCCTATTGGTTTAATTCCCTGTTAAACCGGTGGGATTTTCTTTAGAACGCCAAGTGATCTTCAGTTGTGTAGGGTCTTTTTTATTTCCTTTTTTTTTTTTTTAAAAACCTTGCCTATATTTAAAAATGACTTTAACCCTTGAAGAGACCATTCAACCTCGTTTCCATTTCTTGAATGTCGAGTATTACAATGTATAACACACATTAGGGTGCTCTTTGGTGCTGTTTAAATGGTAGCCAGTGGAACTGACTTTTTTAATAATAGTAATAAAAGAAACATTAGTCCCACTGGTTCCTTAATGTTCGTTGTTGTGGTTTTCTTTCTTTTTTTAATAACGGTTAGTGCTCTGAACTGTGATATTGGTTACTGACATGTGCACGTCAAACTCTTAGTCGCTCTGTCCGTGTAACGACAGTGCCGGCGGCTACTGCAAGTGGGAGTGGCTGTGTAATAATTTGACAATAGTTTGACTCTTTGTTTTCAGTGTGTTTTTAAATTGCACAGATGCACACAGCAAAAATATTCGACCTGAACCCGAATGGCAACTAGAGGGTTAATTTTTAACTTCAGGTATGTTATTCAAGAGAATAAAGTTAAAAAAAAAAAAAAAAAAGAAGGAGAAACAGAACACTATTTTTTCAGTAAGCTTTTTTTTCTGTAAACGATTTAGAAATAAATCCAAGACATGATGGTGCTGTACCAAAGCCTTATACAAAACTTAATTCTGCGCTCTATATAATCTCTCTCTAGCTGTATTGTTGCTCTCAGCCTCAGTTTTGTGAAGGTCTGTAAAATACCAGCAGGGGGCAGTAAGCGCTGGGACATAGTCCTCGAAGTTTAGCCAGCGATGGTGCTTTGTCACTTGGGAGCCAGGGCAGGGGGCCTTGTTTCTGCTGGGGGAGGACATTGGTCAAATTTTGTTCAGTCCCTGACTTTGTAATGAGGGGAGGAAATGGGGATGCTCTCCCCAACTGGGTGCTAATCTGTTCTTGGCAGGTAAATGTAACCTCCTGGGGGATAGGGACAACTCCTTTTTTTTTTTCTCCCCCCCTCCCTGACTGCCTCCCGGGAAGCTGACTATGCAGAGAACCCCCAGGAAGTTGAGTGTTTCCCTTTGAGTCTTTGGGGCCCAATTCATTTCTCTCACACTGATGCACCGTGCTTTTGACGTCAGTGGATGTGCCCAGGTGTTACGGAGAAGGGAATTTGGCACTAGTGGGAATACAACCAGCCGGTACTGAGAAATCTTCCAACTCAGCCATTCTGGCACTATACCTCATTTGGCCAAAGCAAACACAGACCTTGCCTGGTTTTCTCTGTCAAACAGTGTCTCCCCCCCCCTTCCCCCCCCCCAAAAAACACTCTTTTTTTCCCTATCCCAAATGAAGAGCTAACCTGCTTGGCATTCACTGGAGGCAACTCCTAGCTGCTTCTAGTTTGGTGGCTCTAAGCAATAAACCCGCTCTGTTTGCCAAGGATGTTGGCCCCTTAGGCACCTGGACTACTGCCAATTAAAAAACATAGTCTAATGAACATTGGAGGAAAATTAATTTGAAGCCCTGCCTTAATGTGACTGGCTTGTCCCCAGACCTTCCCTTGCTGGTATTTTAAGGCCTGCTGAGTACTAAACGACTCATCACCAGTAACATTGCATGTCCATAGATTGCTTTTTCTTTTTTTTTTAAATATACCCAATTAAGAAATTATGGCAGTGTTGCAATGTTAAGTAAAACTAGCCATTCTGTAGGAGAATGATGGATTTTGGAATCGATAAAGTTTAACATTTAATTGCTCCTCATGTAACATTACTTTGCTTCAGAAATGTTTTGTATTTTGATATAAATAAATATTTGCTTAAAAAATGCTGGCATGTGGCATTGATTCATTTTTTAGTTTCTTGGTGTTTTGGTTATAACTCCCGGCTCTGGGATCAAGCGCTCTTGTGAAATCCCTTCAGTTCTCTAGTGACATCTCCTCAGTCCATGTTCCAGCTGATGAGACTTTGGGAATATTCCATCAGTGTCCTGTAGGTAATGATGAGGGAAACTTCCCTGGTTCATGTGGTGTTGCTCCCATTGGGGTGAGTGACGGGAGAATCTGATTTGGCAGCATCTTGCAGTCGCGTTACCTTTGTGGAAGTAGAGCAAAAGTGTAAGTGATGAGCTAGGGCTCAAGAGAAGAAACTGAACTGAAGTTCTGGGCCTGCCTAGAAAGCGCTGTCCCCTCCCTCTCCTTTGCTCCAGCTACTTCTCCACAGCCTTAAACAAAGAGAGAAGGTACTTGCTGTCCCAGGGGTTCACATAGCTTGGACACTGCTGGCTATTACCAAGTGCTTCCAGATCAGTCATGACCTTTCAGAGGAGCCCTGGGAAGTCTATGGGAATGGACACCCGGAACTGACCTAAACCATTGGTTCCAACCTTCCTTTTCTTGGAATCCCCCTTTCGATAGACCGGTGGGCATCCCCACCTTCTGCATCTCCTCAGGTCATGCCCTGGCACAGTTACTGTGTCCCCATGTCTTTTTTCTTTTTGCCATCAACCACACAATCGTCAGCTCTAATGAGTTAATGGCAGCTTGATCACCTAACTTCCAACCATGCTGCTAAAAGCAGAGTTTCGTTTTTGTTCTTGCTCCAAATATGAGCAACATTTTGAAAACCCCAACATTTTGAGCAATTTTTCCTGTACAAATACTTCTCCATCTAGGCATGTCAGAAAAGGGCTTGTGTGTTCTTTTATTGCGCACAGAGCTTAGGGAGCAAGGCCCTGTATCAAACAGCAATTATTTAGCAGCTTTCAACCTGGAAGATCTGCAAGTTCTTTCCAAAATCTGTACTGGAACCACTTTGCCCACTGCTGAAATGCAGTGGCCTCTAGTGTGGGATACGACAGCCGTTTCCACAGCGCACGGCGACGTGAGACAGAAAGTGAAGAATCCCATAGAAGCTGCTGCAAGGATTTACGGGGGTGGACGGCAATACTTAACAATACCTAGCTAGCTAGAAACTGGAATGCCCTCCGGGGAATGGGGTTAATGCCTCATCTTTTATGAACAATACCATGGGCTCTTTAATGGCCAGTGCCGCCGTTTTATCCATCTTGTGGAAAAGATGGCACCTCCAGTAGCACAGTGCCTCTGAGCAACATGCTGGGGCATTGGCGCGATGATGAGTCAGTGGAAAGGAGATCACCACACCTTCCTGCAGCACCTGCGGGTTCCTTGGTACCCTCTACGAGGAGTAAAATATCTTCCAGTAAACACACTTGCCACAGAAAGTGTTGGATGGCCCCAGGGCTCTGGCCTGGGATGTGTAAGACCTGAGTTCAATTCCCAGCTCTGCAACGAACACCACGTGTGGCCCCGGGCAATCACCTTGTACCTCAGTTTCCCCATCTATAAAATGGGGAGAGCACTTCCCTCCCTGATGGGGGCTAGGAGGATAGAGCCCGGGGGCTGAAAGGAGTTAGGTGACCAAATGCCACTGAAATTCAGATAGGCACCTAACGCCTCCCTTAGGTGCTTTTGAAAAACAATGCAGTGCTTCAGCACCCCGGGTGAGGAGGGCCTAAATACCACAGAGGGGAGGAGCCCAGTGACTTCCAAGGAAGTGCTAGAGGCTTCAGAAGGGAAAATCCCTGCTTAGAAAACACAGGAGCCTCCGCCTGCCTCTTATGAGCGGCGGGGGTGGAGGGGGGGCAAGCACAGGGAGGCACACTGCTGCCGCCACCTACCATTGTGACAGCGTCAGCGGTTGCTGTGCCACGGAGCCTGGTGATGCAACAATGCTGCCCCTCAGCCAGGACTCTTACTGCAGAGATCAGTTCCTGCGGAAGAGGGGAACTGAGGCTGAAGGAGGGCTCGCCTCCCGGGGGAGAGGATCCCCTAGGATGATTATTTCCACGTGGGGCGTGTACATCTTGATCTGTAAATCGATTGGCCGTCGGTTCCCACCCAGCAAGACTCCGGTAAGGGGGCGATGGGGTTATTCTGTGGCTTAGCTGTGAGCTCCCCATCGGCGGGGCGGGGGGAAATGCACAGGGTTCATGCCAGCCTCACCCTGTCCGATTCCTTGCAGGAAATTAAAGTCGTGGAGACAGAGATGCTGTCCGTGCTAGAGCACTGGCTGAGGAAGGTGAGGATGAGAGCCAGAGAGTAGCAGCATGCCCGAGTTAGTGAGATCCTAGCCAATAAGACGCCAGCAAGGACGGTAACCAGGGAGTGGAGTACTGTGTTAGCACCCAGATGGTAAAGGGAGGCACTAAGCCCCGATTAAATCAATTCAGTGCCTGGACACTGAATCGGGGAGGATTTTAATACTTCGGTACCTTGCTAAGCCTAGAGGTGGGGTGGGAGGCAGGATCAGATCCTGTATCTGATGCATGAATACATTGCTACTACGTGGGGGGACCCTGGATTTTAATGCCTGGTTACCTGGATGCTAACTAGGAGGAAACCACATTGAATGCCCAGTTGTCTGAATGGATACAGACTAGGGGGCATGGTTTTAGTGCCTGGGTACTTGGATGATAACCAGGACGGAGGGGAGAAATGTGGTTTTCATGCCCATCTGACTCAACGTCGGGGTTGCTACCACCCTTGTTATGAAAAAGAAAATCTTGGTGAGGAGACTGTCCCCCAACACAGTGGACTTCTGGGATTAAATGGTATTCTGGGGACTTTGGTTCAACCCTGCTTTGAAGGTACTTTGAAGCCAAAGGCTCTGAGATCATCACTTTGCCTAAACAGACACTACGGTAGATCTTCATATTTAATACACGCCCAGCTAGGAGACGACATTCTAGCCTTCTAAGAGGACTGGATTGGCAGGTTCCACTCTTCCACCCTTCTGTGTTCTGAAGATGAGATGGTACCTGCTAGGAAGCAAGGAGCCCAAGTGTTTTCCCTAAATGGATAGTTGCTTTGTTATTAGCCCTCAGTTACCAAGAAGTATAAAGTAAAACCCCAAGTGCCTAAGACCCATTGAGGTCTGATACCTGCACAGTTCATTCTAGTCACTGCTCTCCCTCAGGAGTTGCTGGCGAGGAAAGATGTTATTTTGCTTCCCTTTCAGATTGAAGAAGAAGCTTCCAAGTTCTTTAAGCAGAAACTGGAAAACAAGGCAGAAACCAAAGCGACCCCTTCTGCTGGCCAAGGTTCAGGAATGACAAAGTCACAGGTATCGCCTTGGGACAGTGTCTGGGGGGGCGGTGTGTGGGTTGAGAGGTGGCGACGTCCTGTGACACTGTACAGGAGAAGGTGGAAGAAGTAGAGTCTGAGTGGCATATGCTAGTGTTAAGACACTTCCCTCACGTGGGGCTATGGGTAGCATGGGCCAGGGTGTCCAGTGAGGTTACACCGGGGAGACGTTAAGTACTCCAACACCTCAACAGAATAGGAAACAATACTCAGTTTTCCTTCTGCTGTTGATACCAAGCTTGGCTTTGCCAGTGAAACCATAGCAGCAATAGATGGCTGGACTGTCATCCCTCCCCTGGAACTCGCTTTAAAGCATTCCTTGTGTACACCAAACCTCTTGGGCAGCTGGGCCAGGTTCCCAACGGCTCATCATGCACATTCAGGGCCAGGTTTTCAAGAGTTTTTTGTTTGTTTGTTTTTTTCTCCCCTTTTGGCATCCTCCAAACAAGGGTCACGTTGTCAAAAGTGCTCAACAGCCGGCTCCTCCCGGCATGCCACTTATGTGCTGAGCTCTTTTGAAAATCTGGCCCTTGCTGGTTCGAATGGAGTCCTTCTCCACAGAGGATAAACTTCCCAGGAAGTAATTCCCATCTTTGGTTTGGTTTGGCTCACTGTTTCCTTCTTCCTCTGCAGTTTAAGGGGCTAATCAAATATCAGCTACAAAAGTGCAAGGTGATCTGATAATGTGAGGAACACTTATCCTCCTGTGTAGACAGCAGTATATACAGATAGGTAATTGTGTTATGGTTTTCCTCCTCTTCCTCTGAAGCATCAATTGACCTCTGCCAGAAGCAAGATTTAGTGACTGGCCCAAGGTGCGTTGAAATCAACTGAGAGACTCCCATTTGACGTCCACGGGCTTTTTTTTCCCCACCATGCACACCAGTGGTTCCCTATGATGCATAATGATGCCAGGATACAGACTTGCTTCAACAATGGTTTGATCCAGTAGGGCAAATCCTGTTCTCCCACTATGTTCCGCATGAACTTGAAAAGCAACCTTTCCACATAACTGAAATGTCAACTGCCTTGCATTCAGGGGTAATAGGCACTTCTCAGCTGCATTTGGCATTAGCCACTGTGGTCTCAGTAATGCTGATATAAAGTAGATAGTAAAGGGCTTTTTTTTTCCTGGTTAATACTCTGAGCTGCGTTTCATCCTATTTCCCTTCATGCCAAGGTTTGCGGCTGTGAATAATATCTGCTCTCCCCTGTTTTCCTAGTCTGTTCAAGTCTCTAGCACGAAACTGCCAGTGTCATCATCGAGCCGCGGTCTTCTGGAGGAGAGGACAAAGATCCAGTTCATAAGATGGAGGTAGGTCCCTTGTAGCTATGCCCTAGGAAGAGGCAAAGGGTCTGATTCTGCAGGGTACTGAGCTGGAGTATGACAGGGGAAGCCCCGCTGAAGTGAGGGCAATGAGCATCAGTGGGAGCCAGGATGCTCAGGACTGAACCAAAAGACCAGAACTTCAGCTGGTGTACGTCACTGCGGTGAACTCAATGGAGCTGTGCTGGTTCACGCCAGCTGAGATCTGGCCCAAAGTGGGCAGTGTTTGGTCATGGAGCTGTGGAGTTTATATGCATCTATATTGCAATGTATAAAAAAAACCAATCACAATCTTTTACATATCAGCAATTTTGATCTCTTGGGTTCTACTAGAACTAACGAGGAGCACTTTTATCTTGGAGGATACAGTCCTACCATTGGGTATACTGGGATAACACAAAGATTGGGGACCTGTGCAGAGCTGGGCTTGGGTGGCATACTAGATGTTTTTTATGGGTGACCAGGCCAGCGTCATAAAACCACCTGAATGGACTTGTGTGGTTCTTGCAGTCAGACCCGGGTCTATCGAGTATCGAGTGACATGAGGAACGAAGCCATGCGGGAGAGGCTGGAACAAGTGCGAAACAGGTGAGCTCCTCTTGGCAGGGTCCTTTAAACATCTGCCAGCTCATACTCAGGTCACGCCCCAAAGGCACCAGGTGCTGCCCCCATCCACAGGAAGACACAGTCCCTGCCTCAAAGAGCTCCCGGTCTCGGTGCTGAGCACTCTGGATTGTGTGCAGTGGGACTAGGCACGTGCTGGAGTGGGGCCAGTGTGCTGGAGCCCTAGGGTAATCATGTCAGGAGCCTGGGCAAAGGTAGGCCGGACTAGGGGTAGGCGCTTGGAATCTCAGAACTGAAACGGGTCAGAGCCAGTATCGGGGTCAAGAGTCAAGCTGAGGTTCGAGTCAAGACAAGGATCTGAGCTGCACACCCAGTCAAGAATCAGGCTGAGGGTCAATACCGGATAATGGGGTCAGGGTCCCAGGGGTCGTTCGGGAATCAGAGCCGAGATCAGTACCAGGAGTTCAGAAACAGAGAGGCAGATCGGTCTTGGAAGCTAGCTGTGTTGCCTGGACACATCCTGGTAGGCCTCGTTGGCTTTGTCCCTATATAAGCCCATCAGGGACTGCTAAGGCCACTCTTTCAGATCACTTGAGGTGGAACTTCCTGTAGTGTTGAACCTCTGCAGATTGTGGGTTGCTGGGAGTGGCCAGGTTACAGTTGCTGCTGCATGGCACTGTGGGGATGTTGGTTGTCTAGTAGCCCTGCAGGCCTGGTTTCAAGTTGTGCTGATGCTTAACAATATGGATGTGTAGCCAGATACTCGGAGTGGGCCCCCAGTGAAAACTTCGCCAGACCTCTGTAATAGGGAGAGAATTCAGACCTGTTTGCTGCTGTCCAGATTTGTCACCACTTGGCAATCCAACAAAAGTCCTCTAAACCAGGTGTTCTTCTAGAAGAAGAGAGCCCAAGTTCCTTGGCTATCCAGAGTCCTCATTGGCTAGAGAGATCAAGCCAATGGTCACCATGCCACTAGAGCTGCTCTAGCAGGAAATTAACCCCTTGTCTCCTTTTGCACGACAGAAGAACAAGGGGACTTTCAATTAATTGCAAGGTCGAAAATTCAACACCGATAAAAAGAAATACTTTTTCTCTCAACATGTGATTCGATTGTGGAACACACTGCCACAGGATGCCATTGAGACAAAAGAATTAAATAGGGCCAAACATCTATCTGCATAAGAAAAATTTTCAGTGTTATAGTTAATGCAAAAAGAAAAGAATTTTGGAAGGGATAACAACTCCCTGCTTTAGGGTTTAAGCCAGACTCCAGTGATTTGGGGATGTGGCGAGGCCTTTGTGGGGGCAGATTATCCCACATCAGCCTGTTGTAGGGCTCTTGCACCTTCCTCTGAGGCATCTGCTGCTGGCTATTTTTAGAGACAGGTTTCTGGATTAGATGGACCATGGGTCTGATCCAGTTTGACAGGGCACATCAAATTCTAGCTTCTACCTCTGCGGACTCAACTGCAACCTCTGCTTTCTCGATGCTTTTACCAGTTGGAGATTGAAACCTAGATCCCCCTAAGTGACATCCAGGTGCAGGAAACCCAATTCTGCAGTTAGGTAGCAGCACATTTTGGGTTCTGGCCAGCGTTCAGATCCTGCAGTGATGGACACCTGTGCAAAATCGTGAGATGGATGGATAGAAGTCCTCCCCAGTGCATTGCTGGGTCCGACACCTCCCTATAACTTCTTGTTTCTTCAGTGTGTCCCAGGTCATGCTTCAAGCAATGCAGAACAACAGGTCGAACACTGAGATCCGAGCCACGCTTTCAAGCTAAATATAGCAGGTAAGGCATGTAGGCCAGATAGAACATTGGAGGTGAGTCTCAATTCATTCCTTGATTCACTGCTCCTAGCTTCCTCAAACCTGCCACCTCCATAGACCTGACCCTACAGAGTGAACCCTCTGTTCCACAGGTTAGAAAGGAGCTTGTTCTCCATTTTAATCCAGCCCTGAGTTTCTTCCTATCACTGCTGCTTCACCAGCTGGCCTCCCCCAGCTAGTTCCTGGGCTGAAAGTAAACTTAGGCCCGTGATGAAGGGCCAACGTTTGTACTGAGACATGTAGGTCCAAATAAGCGAGCATCAGGATAACAAATAAAAGCGATTTCCCCAGAGTGAATTATGCCAAGATTCCCTCCTGGCCTCTATTGCCGGTGCTGCAGACCTGGGGCAAGACAAGTTGTGACCTCATGACGCACCTGGCCTAGGCATCCAGGGGCATCTGAAACTTGGACCCTCGCTGGTCTTCTCTCTCCTATGGGAAACCTCCGGGCACGTGGTCCCATGCCATCCTGGCTGGCCAGTTTGGGATAGTGTCAACTGTCATTTTAAGTCACCCAGGGGGCTGACAGTCAGCTTACCTAAATCAAGTTCTACCCGGAGCTGCTTGCCGTCAAAACCTGACAGTGGCCAGGGAAGCTGTCCCAGCCAGCAGCTGGTGGCCAGGTCAGTCTGTGTGGGCAGGGCCAGAGGGAAGGCAGGGAGTGTCCAGGGGGGGACACAGGTGGTTTTAAAGCCACCTTTGTCGTCATCCTCCTCGGCTGCCCCTTCTGCGTGGTATCTCCCGAGAGGCCCAGCACGGAATCTAGCCCAAAGCCTGATCCCTTCGGTAAGATATTGCGCCCTGCCGTGGCCTGAGCCAAGCTGACTAGCTCAGCATCCCAAACTCAGGATCCTTTAAGGTGAGCCGAGCTGGGCAGCCCCATGCCGAGGCCCCTCGGTGGCCATGTTTGAAGACGTTGGCCTTGGCATTTCCGTGCCGGTGCGACACGGGACAAGAATCCTCGTCTTCCCTATAGGGTAAGGGGGGGTTGTGAGACACAGGTGCTGGAACTAGGGTTGGGGGGGGGGGGCTGCAGCACCCCCTGGCTTGAAGTGGATTCCATTATAGACAGGGTTTAGAGTTTGGTCCAGTGGCTCTCAGCACCTCCCGCTATACACATTGTTCCAGCGCCCCCTGTTGTAAGAGGTCATTAGTGAGTGGGGATGCTGAGGTCAACCAGGCTCCGCTCTTGGGGAGGGTCCCTGGCTGTGGAACGGGGTTTTCCCGGGCATCCAGCAGAGACCGATTCCTCTGACCTGTAGGGTACGGTGCCAGCTCCCACCTCCTGATGAAGCGTTGGTTGGCCTGTAGATCATGGCAGACTCATGTACTAAGGCTGGGGAGGACTGTTTGCAATGCCTGGCAGGGAGCGGCTTAATTTGAAGCAGTGCTGTTGAATTTTTGCATGTGCCCCCAGGCCACGGTAATGGGGGCCTAAGACCCATTAAACAAGGGAAGTGCTTTGCGATCCCTGGTGAAAGGCGCTAGTCCTATTTACCTCCTTAGGATCCTGGCCCATCTGATGCCATCGCTCTTGCTCACCTCTCTTGCTTCTCTTTTTTGCAGCATTTTGCCCAGCCTGGGGCTCCTACTGCAGAGACAGGCTGCATTTGAAGTTTTTCCTCCAACCATTTCAGAGCAAATCTGGCGAACGTATTAACTCCTGTTTCATAAACCTGAGCTGGTCATAAAGACGCTTGTTATGTAGAATGTGCCTGGTCTGCCGCTGTGCTTCTGTGGGGAGTCTGTGAGGCTCTCTGGCCTGCTTAGCAATGACTGTCCACAAGATGGGGATATTTACTTGCAAGATGGCAGTGCAGAGAGAGGTGGAGCGAGACAGAAGGAGGCGGATACAGACTAACACGGCTGTTACTCTGAAACCTGTCAGAAGGAGGCGGGTAGGTGTAGGGGAGGGGAGGAGATGAGGGAAACTGAGACACAATAAGGGAATATGCACATCTGTAAAAGACTTGACGTTTCCCTCCTCTGCCATATTGTCTGTCTGTCTTAGGGTGACCAGATAGCAAGGGTGAAAAATCGGGACAGGGTGTGGGGTAATAGGCACCTATATAAGACAGCCCCAAATATCGGGACTGTCCCTATAGAATCAGGACACCTGGTCACCCTAGTCTGTCTGTGCCTCTCTCTTCTGTTTGTCTGGTACTCAGTGCCCCAGGTGCTTTCCACCTATGTAAGACAGGACAGTCCCAGCCCCAGATGCTGAGAGTTTAAGGCTGGACAGAAGTTAGGGAAAGAGGTTCTTTATCAATGTCAGTGGGAAATGTTTTTGAGGGACTGAAGTGGGAAGGAGGGAGGGCGCCTGGGAAATGAACTCCAAGAGGCTGTAACGTGCATCGCAGCTGGGTGGAATTAGGCATGGAGGGGAGTGTGGGAGAAGATCTCCATCCCTCCATTTCCCCATGAGCAGGCAATCGCTGCAGTATCAAGATTGTCCTCGTGAGCTGTGATTTCCCATCTCAGAACCCCCCTCCAATATGTAGCCAATTGCACACAAGTTTCTCTTTCCTAGGGTAAATCTGTCCCACGTTTCTCTATAGATTTATTTGTGTTGTAACTCTACCCGGAGCTGGGTCCCTGCAGTGCTTGGGGCTGTACAGACACACAGGAGGATACAGCCCTGGCCCCAACGAGCTTACCAGTCAAACAAGAACAAGTAGATGAAAGTTCAGGGCATGATGCACAAGACAGATGCTCAGGGTCCCAGCAGACCCAGGGCCAGTTAGTTCTGGGTCTATATATTTCCCCCCATGGGTTTGTTTGTATTCCAAACACTTTGATGACTGGAAGGAAGGAGGTTGGGAGCACTCAGGATTAAAATGGGGGAGTGGGATTGTTGGTCTGAGACAGCAGGGGTAAGGTGGAGATATTATTTCATAAGGGTTCTACTAAAAAGAGCCTGGGGCTATTGCTGGATCCTGGATCAAATGAATGGTGTCTAGCCTGGAATGGCCAGGTGGGGGCGCTCTCACCCATGGAAGTGCAGCAGATGCAAACCAATCCTTGAGGTTTCCCTGCAGACCTCCTTGCTCTGCGCACCATGTAGCTAAAGCAGTCCTGGCAGGACTGTAAAAGACCTGGCTGTAGAAAAGTCCCCTGATGCTCTTCATAATAATTATTATTCTTTTATTATTTGTGTCATTGTAGCACCTAGGAGTCCCTTGATCCAAGACCCCATGGCGCTAGGTGCTGTACAATCACAGAACAAAAAGACCGATTGCAAAGTCTTTGGAGTAGAGACTATGTATAAGACAAAAGGCACCAGTTGATATGGACTGACGGGCACGGAGACAACGAGGCCATATTGGTCAGCATGATTAGCAAACCAGCAGTCTAATGTTGTTAATCATCAGCTGCCTTGTCCAGTAATTGTCTCTCCCACCGCCATAACCATCATCTTCCCCACCCCCATCCCGCTTCCTTCTCTGGGACCCTGAACCTGTTGATGAGTCCCTCTGTTTTCATCCCTCCTGTCAGACCCCCCAAGGAGCATAGCAAAATGCCTGGATTCATCTGCCACCCATCCTTGCTCCCTCACCAGCTGCTCCTCTTGCTTGTTTGGCAACAACAATAAGCCCTGAACAAGGGAGAGGAGGAGGGCAAAGCCATTATTGTTATTACAAGCCCAGCTTCTCCAGGCCTCTGGCAGGAGCGAACTCATTAGTGGCTCAAATGGAGCTTTGTTCCACGCATGATTGAGCCCCTGAGGGGAACCAGTGCCCCGCTGCACCTGTGTTACAGGGGGCACTGATTCATGCGGGATTAAAGGGAAATTAATGGCAAATGTGAGGTCATTCAGCCATGACCAAGGCATTAGTGTAGCTAAATGGTGCTGATGAAGCTAATCAAGGTGTTTGTTGGGTCATGGATTTTGCAGGGGCACGGGGCTGTCTATGGCTGTGGCAGGAATGCTGAAGGGACCACAGTCTGAAAACTCATGCTCGGCGTGGTTTAAGTGCTGGGCCAATGTGAAAGTCCTAAAGCAGGTCTGGGCGATCCCGCAGATGGGGCCAAGTTTCCAGCCTGAGGCTAGAAATGAAACCAGGGAGGGAGGCTGGAATGCCTCCTCCGAGCGAGTGCTCTCAGCCATCGCTTGGAAAGGCCAGCTGGTCACAGCTCAGGTGCAGTGGGAGTTCCTCAGGACAACTGACTTCTCTGTAGAGACCCTGACTGGCCGGCAGGTATTTTAGACCTCCTTACATCAGGGCTCAGAATGTACCTCTCCCTGGATGGAAGAGACTAAATGGTGACTGGCCCTGGATGGGGGAGCGAGGGTTTGGGCAGCAGGCTGAGCTGGGAGGCTAGCTCTAGCAGTTATAAAACATGCCTTCGTGATAGACTCAGGGAGCCAACAAAATCAAGGTTAAGAGGTGACTTGATTGCAGTCTGTAGGTACCTACCTGGGGAACAAATACTTGATAATGGGTTAGTCTAGCAGAGAACAGTCAAACACACCCCAGTGGCCAAAAGTTGAAGCTAGACAAATTCAGACTGGAAGTAAGGCCTACATTTTTAACAGTGAGGGGAATTAAGTATGGGTGGTTAATTGTGGTTGGTTGTGATTGGTTCTCCATCACTGGCAACTTGTAAATCAAGCTGGAATTGCTTTTCTAAAAGCTCTAGGAATTATTTCAGGCAGTTCTCTGGCCTGTTACACAGAAGGACAGACACAATGATTACAGTGGTCCCTTCTGGCTTGGGACCTATGGATCTATGAATTCTGAAGGTCCCCCTGTAACAGCGATGGTAATTTCCTGCAATATTGTTGGGAAACCTTACTGAATTATCTTTAAGTATGAGGTACATTGTATTCAATGAGCGGTTTGTCATAGTATGGGCCAGGACTCTATGGAATCTCTCGAGAGACGGATGTGAGACTTGGGAGTTCAGAGGACTATCCTGAACAAGGGGCCAGACCCGAATGGCCTTTTGGAA